ATCACCTAAATCAGTTGCATCAATATCATGCATGTCATCATGTGTCAACACTGTCTCTAGTGCCCTGCATTGCTGGCATCTTCAGGTATAGTGAGGAGTTTTGGAATATCATACAACATCCCAAATATACTGCTGTGTTCATTGAGCTGCATTAAACGTTCTTCAACTGACTGCATTGCACAATCTAGCACCTGGTTAAAGAAGTCAACTTGGAATTGTTGTTTGGGGTCTCTTATGGGATTATCCCGTGCCTCATAATCAAAATGTCTTCTTCTTCAGTGACTCTTGTATTCTTGAATGGGTGGGAAAATAGCTTTAGTGTGAAGTTTCTCTGCCAACTTCTGTGCATTCTTCCAAACATTTTGAAATCCCTCATCTGACCGGTAAGACTGTAGGTATGACTTTGCTTTCTCCAGTTGTTCCATTGCTCCAGATATATCAAGGTCAACACCTTGGAATCTCTTGCTTACAACATTTATTTCAAACAGTATGTCATGCCACAACACTAAGCCACACAGAAATTTGAAGTTATGTATGTTTCTGGTGATTCCATTTCCCTCTGCCACTGTTCTCCGATGAACAGTTCCTGTCATAGCATTATCCTCCATAATGGCAACTATGGCATCATCTATCTTCCCAATTTGGTGTTTGATAGACTTTATTGCCTCTACTCGACTTTCCCATCGTGTGGCACTCAGTGGTTTCAGTGTCAGAGAGGATGTTCCCAGATGTTGCTTCAAAATTTGCCATCAATGAGTTGATGCAGAGAAAAAATACATAGATTCTTTGAATTACATTAAAAAATTCAGCAGCCTCACTAGAAGCTGAAGCTGCATCACTGACCACCAAGTTCAATGAATGAGAACTCAATGGGACAAAAAAAGCTCGAGGGTTTAACTCTCGGATCTGTGTCTGCACTCCTCTGTTCTTTCTTCTCATGTTGGCACCATTATCGTAGCCCTGACCTCTCACGTCAGCTATCGCAATTCCCGTATCTTCCAGCTTTTTAAGAAGCACATTTGTTATACCAGCTCCTGTAGTATCATCAATGTCAATAAATTCTAGAAAATGCTCTCTGACAGTCACCATTGCAGGGACATTTTCACCAGGTTCTGTTGTTGTTACAAAATGCACCATTAAAGTCATTTGTTCCATATGGCTGATGTCAGGGGTGCAGTCCAGAATAACAGAGTAATATCCTGTTGACTTCAGATCTAACACAATCTTCTGTTTGACTTTTGTTGCCTGTAACTGTATGATCTCATTTTGAATTGTTTTTCCAAGGTAGTAGTGTGTGTATATTTCTTGGGTGGTGACTCTTCTTAGATGATCCTGGACTACAGCATCAAACTCAGCCATCAGCTCCACAATTTTAAGGACGTTTCCATTGTTTGGCACATACAGCTGATCTGAAGTTCCATGCAGTGCTAGGTTTTGGGTAGCAAGCAATCTCACAATGGCAATGAGCCTTTTCAGAACATTTTGCAAGTAAAGAGACTCTGATGCAATCTTCTCTTGATGCTGATCATCTACGGTGGCCTTTAACCTTAGTTTCATCTCAAGCTTTTTCCACCTATGGAATGTTCTCTGGTGATTGCTGCCTTCTCATGCCAGATTTCTAACCAGATTTTTCCAGTCCTTTGTTCCTGTAGAACCTAATGTGGCTGGAACATTAGACTGGAAGACTTTGCAACAAAAACACTATGCAGCATTCTGGGTTTTTGAGTACATAAGCCATGGCCTCTCCACTTTGTCACCACTGGGGATTTCACACCAGTAATGTGTTGGATGGAAACTTCTATTTTCATTGTCTTTGGGGAACATGAACTTTTTCACTTGCTGTGGCCCATGCAGTACAAGGAAGTCCCTCAGGCTACTGGGTCCACAGTCCTGGATCATCTAGACTTAAGGAACTAAACTCAGCAGCAGCTGTTTCTTGCGCCTCCACCACACTCTTCTCTGATCTACACTTTTCTTCAGGAATATGCATGGTTACATCCATTTGAGATGGAGATATGGATGCTGCAGTAGCTGCCAGGTCACCAGCACTCTGACTAACTGGAAGATCAGGCATCTCCTCACCACTCACATCCTCACTGGGGCCAGAAAGCTCACCGTGAACATTTGTGTCTATGTATCTCAGGAGAGCTCCTTCCTGCTTAGATAGAAAAGCTTCCTTTGCTTTCTGTTCTTTTTCTGAATGCTGCCCCCGAGGGGCATTTTCTTTTTTCACTCAGGACTGCTGTTCTGTGCCAGCTATAGTGGCTCTTAACACTCAATTGAAGGGGACAAATAAGCAGGCTGGTAGCAGGGCCTGAGTGAGGGAAGATATCAGCGTCTTAAGGGCCTAACTGGCTCCTACTACTTCAGTTGATTGCCTGTTTTCCTCAAGTGGGTTCAGGAAAGCAGCAGGAAACAGGAAGCTCCCTGAGAAGCTGGTGTTAATCAGTCCAGGCTCCTGGGCGTGCTAGAGAGGTACATAAGAGGCTCCTCCTCTTCTCTCTCTCTCTTTCTCTGCAGATCCTGCTGCTTTCTGTTATTCCCTCTCACCTTTTCTCCTGCCTGCCTGTTATCTCTCTTGTGCCCTCCTTCCTCCAGCACAGCACTCCACCATCTCTGTGCATCTAGAGTAGAGAGAATACATATGCACCAGCAGCAGACAATTTTCTACACTCAGGGTCCTAGTGGTGCCCCCCGACAGTCTGGCACCTGAGGTGGCCGCCTCAGTTCGCCTCATGGTAAGGCCAGCCCTGCCCTCTTAGCTCCTGCCCCCGCTGTGCTGACAAAGTCACTCTGAGACCCTGGGGTTCAGTAACCACTGGTGCCATTTATTTACAGGTTGTGCTCCCACCACCTTTTCACCATACACCTCTTGGGTTCTAGTGTCTGCAGCCAGGAGGGAAGAGCTATCACTCTGCTTCCACTCCCTCACTCCTCTGCTTTTTTATAGTCCCAGGCTAATTGGTGGGCAGCTGTCTCAAATTCCCCAATTAGGCACAGGTTTTCTCTAGCCAGCTCCAATTTACTTCCCTTAATGGAAGTTGGCGTGATAGAGAGCTGAGTCAGCAGTTCTTGCCCAGCACCATCACCGTCACTACAAGAAACTAAGACTAATTTCCTAACTGTGGGATTTCCACTAGGCCTGTGGTGCATTAACAGAGAGGAATCAGTGATATTTGTACAGTTGCCATTAACTTTGTGGCAAACTCTAGCTACTCTTTGCAACTAGCTCTTCTTAGAGAGGAATACAATTCACCAAACCTCCCATCCCCACCATCAGCCTGTAATCAAAAAGTTATTATCAAAGATATTATTTGGTTGCATGAGCCTAATATAGTTATCAGATTTATAGAAATGCTAATGCGGGCACTTAGCCATAAGCTGTAGGCACTTAAAATGACAAAACTTAAAATTACTGTGCAGCAGTACAATTTAAGATGATCCAACACCAGTTAGCCAGGCATCTTAAAAAACTCAATTTTCCCTCCTCATATGCTCCCCACAATTTACACCCTTAACAGCTCAGCATCGCATCTTTACATTTCCCCCAAACTCCTCATTTTAAAATGTCTGGGGGAAAAAGACATGCAATATACCCTGAAGGTCATCAGATATGGGCTATTTTAGGCTAAGTCAAATGAACACACTCTTACGTTAACCCAAAGGCTTTATTTAGCTTAAAACCAATATTTAATAGATATAATATTCCAGAAGAGCATCACAATAATTCTTGCAGATGTGAGCAGAAATTGGACAGCAAAGCACATTCATCACTTAGCAAACTGAACTGATTTACACATTTTAACTATTTAACAAATCAATGGTTGAATTTCTAACAAATCTTAATTATGGTGTCATTACAATAGAATATATACAGAACAAAATGTCTTTCCCAACCAAATTAGCTAGCTATATTTGTTTTCCAAGCTTAAAGTCAACAGAAGCATTAGTTCTACTGTGCTGTTTTGGGAAATTTTCTCTCTTTCAGAATCAAAATGTATCAGTGCTGTCTATCTTCTGGAAAATTATAAAAAGCAGAATACATACAGCAATACGAAAGCTATATAGAGCTTTTCCCTAGCCTTTTTCTTGTGCCAGTCCTACATTACATACTCAACAAATGACTCTGGCTGCATACACATGCTTTCTCTCACATATATGTATCCTTATTTCTTAGTAACAAACACCACATGGCAAATCTTTAGAAACAAACCACCATATTCTGCATTCAGTCCACAAATGCTCTTTCCATTAATACCACAGGGGAATCTTGCACAATAAGTGAGAAGAAAGTACGGCCCTAGGACTTGTGAGGAACTTTGAACTCATTAACTTCCACGAGCCTGCATTTTATCATCATTTTGGTGGATAAATCCTGAATCTTCTTATTCTTCTCATGCAAACCCAAATGCTGCCTGTGACCAAGGAGCTCAATGAGACTTCCTAAAAAGGGGACATTTCCTATTTTTTAATTTCATAAAGAACGTACTTGAAATAATAAAATTGATCATCAAGACACAGCCTGGCTGGTCTTAAGGAATGAGCCTGGAGCTAAGCGTAAGCAAGTAAGTGCTGAGCTATGATCCCAGTTCTGATACTCTTTGGTATATATAGTTTTGGCCAAGCAAATTCACTGCTCTGTGTTTGACAGCAGGTATCTATGAAAATTATCTGTATGTATTTTACTGTAAGTACTTGAGAAAAAGATATACATAATTCCACTGTCAGAGAATCAACTTTGAGTAAAACAATGAAAGACACCTCTCATTAAAAGCAAAAAAGTAACACCTTTCAGGAGTTTATAGGTCAAAGAATCAATAAGTTACAGCAAGCAAAAAAAATTTAGAAAGATTTTTTTTAAATGACAGAATTTTAAAATGTCAAACTCAATATCTCAAAATCCACTTTCCAGATTTACCTCAAACTCGATGGAATAATTCGATGCAGTGCCAGCATGAGCAGGTTTAAAAGAGTTTGGTTGCAGAGAGAAGACACCTTACCACAATACGTACTTGTCCACAGTCATAGAGGAAGTCAAGAAGATATAATCAGGAGTTCCCAGCCCTGTATTCACATCTCTAGACCATGCATCCAAAGAAAAATTGTGTTAACATATTTGTAAGCAAGGATGACTTTCCACTGACATATATGTATTTCAAACTTAACAAAATAACATGTTTGATTTATTGTGGAAATGCACATTAGATGCTTAGAGTTCCCTTTTGGAAAGAGACCTTTATGGGAGACCGATGCTCTTTTAAAGAATGAGAAGTGGGGAAATGTTAGTACCTTTCCTTTAGACAGTCTCGGCAAGAGGGCGTCACCTAATCTAAATGTCTCCATTGTTCAGGGCTTATAGTCAGTTCAGCAACCTTGCAACTGACACTTTCAAATCTTGTCAGAGCATCCTTTCTTCCAAGAGCATATGTCTTTAAAATTGTGAGAGAGCTAAATTTAAAGAAAATATGGTTTATCATGCTTCACTACTCTGAGGCACATCCAGAGGTCAACTACAGGGGCTGAGGAAGTCTTTCAAGAGTTCTGATAAATATTCAGAAAAAAAGGACAGATTCTTAAGCTGATAATTTGTGCAATTTTTGTTGTTGTTCAATCATTACTAACAATGCATTTGTTGTGATTGATTACATATTTAAAGAAATCTTTTAAATAATTTAAATTATTACTTCATGTCATCTCATTCTGAGATTAAAGGTGTTTTTTTAAAAATATTTAATACTTTGGTGACTATTGTGTCTTGTATCAAGAAATATTTTCATTGTCTCCATTGGCGTCCACTCTTTTCCCTGGCACAGTGCCCTGTAGTGGCTTTCTTCCTGGAACCTTAGAAATTAGTCAGTTCTCACATTGCATTAACCAGGGAAATAGGCAGTTACAGTGAACCCAATTCTGCCCTTAAATCTGCACGCACAATTCAAAGTGACTTCAAAAAGGTGTTGCAATGCAGGTGGAGTTAACATGATTATGGGAATGTTAATATTAACATTTCCTCACATCAGTATTTAAAAATCTAATCTCCTAGCACAAGGGGGTTTGAGACTGGGGCTTCAAGGTGCTACCACAATACAAATAATAAATAACTGCATTTAGCCATTTACCTATCTCTGGTAAAACAGAGATTCCTACAAATGGTAAAACTAAAAGGAACATTTTTATTGCCCTCTCACCTCTTCCAGTTCTTCCAGAATAGGGTAAATATAACATCAGGAATTTTTGTGCTCCCATTGTCTGTGCTATGCCTGTTCCTAGAATGAAGGCTGGAATTTTCAAGAGTAAGGTCAATGGGCACTGGACACTTAACACCCTTTGGCCCTTTTGGAAATTCTATCGTAAGTCTTCAGTGCTGCTATTTGGACACTCTCTGTAAGCAGCAGATTGACAGGGTAAATTAAAGTATCATAAATGTATTTTTAACATTTCTCTAATGTCCACACAAAAATGTGAATTGTGACATAGGCTTGTAAATTACTTGTTTGGTCTTCACTAGAGTTTGAGAGATTCTTGAAAGTGTTCACAGGATCATAACAAATTACAAACAGCAATTCTGCCCTTAAATTTGCATGCACAGTAACAAATGTAATATAAATAACAATATTGTATTGACCTTTTATTTTTCCCAAAGGTTGTAGGGGGCACAGGCCAAATCCTGGTACTTATCCCTTCAAAAATGAGAGATCAAATGAATAAGAGCATACAGTTAGAAGACAAAATGACATTTTTAAGAGTCAGGTACAAATCTAGTTTTGTCAGGACTGGTCACATGCAAGGTATTCTAGGCAACTCGCTTTCTTTGCCGCTACATAAATAAATACAGATTAAAAAAATCACAGTGGAACTGAAACTCCACTTTTCCTCTTCTCTAGGGTATGATCAATTTCTCATTAAAATGCTTTTAGACAAAGGCGAAAGGGGCATATTCATCTCTCAGTAATACTGGCATAGAGCTGGAGTAACTTCATTGACTTCAGTGGAGTTATACCATTGTAAAAATGGAGTAACTGAGACCAGAGATGTTTTGCTTCAGAATATTACAAGGGGGCTTTGGGGAGGGAAAAAGCTTTTCTGAGAGATTACTCCTCATGTCAGCATTGCATTCTCTGGGTTTCCCACAGACTTGTGCCAAAGCTCTTTAATCTGGACCTGCAGCATCCCTCTGTCCTCAACCTCCAGGGCAGAGACTGACACAATTTGCTGAATTGTTCCAAAAAAGAGTGTAGTGCATTTTTGACTTGGTCGGCAGTCTATGGGGAATTTGACTGATGCCCAGTATCAAATCTCAGTGTAATTCAGGTCATCGCCTTAGTTTATAAAACATTGTATTAGAAAAACATTCTTTTCTGTGTATATTTTTTGAAGGGAAAAGCCTAATTAGGAAAAAAACAAAGCAAAGGAGATCTCTTTATCTTCCTTCGGGTTGTGGATTAGATGTTTTAAATTTAGAAACTATTAATTTGATAACAAGAGTTACCTACATGTTTTGGAATTTAAAATATAGTGATGATTTTACAGCAACTAATGTAGTTAATAAATAATTGAAAGAATTTATTAAAGAGTTATTTTAACAAAGATTTTTTGTACATTTTTTTTGCCAACTCTTTCCAAAAAGATGCAAGACTTCAGCATTGTATTCCCTGAGAATTACCAATTACTGATACCCTTTTTGTATATCTATTATGAATTTCAGCTAAAGAAAAAAAGAAAAGGGAAGGAAAGAGAAGGACAATGTGTATGAGATAAAAATATTCGGACTCATTTAAAGTAAGAGGAGCAATATGTTTTTCTCCTTCATTTTGAATGAAAAGCTTTGGCGGTAATGGGCCTTCTCTGTTGTTCTGCTGTTTAAGATACAATATTTAAGTGATAAACTAAAAGCAGACCCCAAACCTCCATACTATTACATCTGTCCCTCCACTTTGAATTTCCTGGCTTTGTAGAAACTTTTTTTTGTGGGGGAGGAGGGGGGAGATAGATCTCCATTTCTCATCACCACACCATCTGAGTGCTTCAGAAACATTAATGAGTTAATTTTACAAGTGATGGACTGAGGCAAAGAGAGATTAAGGCCAACATTTTCAAATATAGGTGTCTAAAGTTTGGCTTCTGAATGGACTCAGTGGGAGCTCAGGTTGCTCAGAACCACTAAAATTCAGGGCAAAGGCTTCTAATCAGGACCTAAATATTGATTTACATGAGAAACTTTAGGCACTTATGTTTGAAAATGTTGTCCCCACTCACTTGTCCAAGGTTACACAGGAAGCCTGAGGTAGCAATGAGAATTGAACCCAGATCCCCAGTCATATTTCTGAGTCGCAAGACCATCCTTCAACACTGCAATCGTCTTTTAAGGTATTCTGCCCCTTAATTATGGATACACATTTTGAACTTTAACTCAAGTTTCATGATGGTTTTTTCCTTGGAATGTTTTACTTTTCATAGTTAAGACTCCATTTTTGATGAGTGGAGGATGTTTAGACTTCACCAAACACTATTGGTAGAAATCATTGAAATTTCTGATTCAAAATATTTGGGGATGGGGGAGACACGTTCTGAACAGTGACAGGTCATGATAACATATTTAACGCTTTGGTCCCATTTATTACACCATAATTATTACAACAGATTCCACAGGCAGGTAATAAAGGGGGCAAAGTTAAAATTGTGTGGTTCTGTTGAGTGAGAAGTATCCCCTTAACTCAACATTTCCTGCTTTTCTACATTTGAGTTTTCTGCAGCATTGTAATGCTAATGATAAGGGGACCTGAACTCTATATTTTCTCAAAAAGAAGAACAGGAGTACTTGTGGCACCTTAGAGACTAACAAATTTATTAGAGCATAAGCTTTCGTGGACTACAGCCCAATTCTTCGGATGCATAAGCCGGAGGACACGAAAGCTTATGCT